TATTTCTTTGTTCGCATTAGCACAATTAAATGTTCTGGGATTCCCATTCTTCTCAGAGTCAGCCACAGCCTGTTATGGGAATCCCAGAACATTTAATTGTGCTAATGCGAAACCTATACTTGGACCAAGAGGCAGTAGTCAGAACAGAGCAGGGTAACACTGCATGGTTCAAAATTGGGAAGAGTGTACGCCAGGGATGCATCCTGTCTCCATACCTTTTCAACATGTATGCAGAGCAGATTATCTGAGAGGCTGGGCTCTATGAGGAGAATTGTGGCATCAGGATTGGTGGAAGATCTATTAACAATCTGCGTTATGCAGATGACACAACCCTGCTTGCTGAAACTGAGGAGGACCTCATGCACTTGCTGCGAAGGGTCAAGGACTGCAGCCTTCAGTATGGACTGAGGCTCAATGTCAAGAAGACAAAGATTCTCGCCACTGGACCAATTAGCAGCATCAGGATGGATGACGAAGAGATTGAGAGTGTTCACAGCTTCAGTTTGCTCGGCTCCACAGTCAACACTCTTGGTACCAGCAGTCAGGAAATCAAAAAGCGTATCGCGATGGGAAAGTCTGCTGTTAGGGACCTCTCAAAGGTACTCAGGAGCAACAGTGTCTCTCTGGAGACTAAGGTGCGCCTGATACAGGCCATGGTCTTTGCAATCACTTGTTATGCATCAGAGAGTTGGACAATGACTAGGGAGGACAGAAGGAGAGTGGATGCTTTTGAGCTGTGGTGCTGGAGAAGGGTACTGAATGGACTGCCAGGAAAACAAACAGATTCATCTTGGAGAGGATTAAACCAAGCTACTCCTTGGAGGCAAGGATTCTGGGGCTTCGTCTGACATACTTTGGACATGTTTCCAGGAGGGACGGGTCCTTGGAGAGGGACATCATGCTTGGGGGGGTGGAGGGACAGCGCGGGAGGGGAAGACCCTCTATGAGATGGATTGATTCGGTGACTGGGGTAATCGGGATGGGTGTGTCAGAGGCGGTGCAGTTGGCGCACGATAGAGCAGGGTTTAGGGCTGTTGTGCATAGGGTCGCTATGAGTCGGAAACGACTCGGCGGCACATAACAACAACAATATATTTTTTTTTAAATCCCAATATATTACATTAATTGCTGTCTACTATAAAACACCAATCTCCATTGCCCCAGTTACTCTATCAATCCATCTCAGCCAGGTTCTTCCTCTCCTGTGCTGTCCCTCCACCCTTTCAAGCATGATGTCCTTCTCCAAGGACCAGTCCCTCCTGGCCATGTTTCAATACAGAGCTTCAAAATCCTAACCTCCAAGGAGAAACTTGGTTTCACTCTCTCCGAGACAGACCTGCTTGTCCTCTTGGCCATCCATGGTATATTCATGGCATCTACAGTTTTGTTTTGTGTATCCTGAGTCGGAACAAACTCATAGCTGTCCCTCCAGCAGGTTTTCAAAGGCAGTTAATCACACACAGGCGGAGACTACCCTTCTTTCTCCTGCAGAGCTTCTGGTGAATTCAAGCTGAGTTTCATTGGGTTGGCAGTACAGCTCCTTACCAGCCTCTGGAGTTAGAGACCAAAAATTAGTTCACATATATTAGCTCGTTTTATTTTTAGGAAAATCATGAGAGGTCAATAGGGCAATAGTGTTTATTATCAAGATTCAAAATGCATGCTGAGTGATCTGCCTATGCACACTTGTGCGTGGTAGGAAATGGCAAAGCCTGACTTCTTGAATCAAAGATTCCTGCCTCCAAGTCCTATGTTTGTTCTGATACAGCTCTTTGTGTGATGACATTCCAAGTTTTCATGGCTCTTAAGAATTAACATTTTTATTTCACTCTCTGAAGACGGTTCAAATGAGTTCCTTTGTTTTCTCTTGTGACTGCAATATAAACACTAATGCATATGGAAACTGATACTTACTTTGAACTTAACAAGACTGAGAAAGCATAACACTTATCGGCATACTGAGGCCGTACTCATTTCCTTTTTACAGTTCTCCATGTCCACATTCAAGGCTTAGCCCTCTTTAGTGGTATTTCTTGTGTGTGTATGTAGAAAAGACAGCTTTGCCCAACATTCTAGAGATTCAAAACTTCCATAAGCATAATTTTTAAAAAGGTCATATTAAAGAACAGTGTGTTGCCAAGTTTTCAGTACAGAAAAAAAGACTGCTTTCTTGATCCTATCATGAGTTAAGAAGATAAAGGTGCAGCATTATATAAAAAGCAAAATTCTTAAGCGAGTTAATTGCTTGGTTTCCATAATTCCTTTTTAATCAAAGTTTCACAAGCACAAAATGTGCACAAGCATGAAATAAATTCTCACAACCACTGAAGTCCATAAGCATAATGCTTTGAGTAAACTCACAGTAAAAGCCAGGCCAACCTTGTTCCAGGTCAGATTCATCACATTTGTAAGTCTATTTTTCTAGTACATACTGAGATATATCAACATTCCCTGGTATCAGCTGTCAGAAGATGAGAAGATGTATTGTTTTGGGCAAGTCCACAATCAGGGATCTCTCGAAAATACTGAAAAGCAATGATGCCAGTTAAATGACTAAGGTGTAATCCTGATTCAAGCCAAGGTCTTTCAATCACTTGCTAAGCATCTGAGAACTAGCAAAGAATAAGGATGACAGAAGGAAAACTGATGTCTTTGAGTTGAGGGGTTGGAAAGGAGTACTGAATATTCCACAAATTGTAAAAAGGATGAACTGATATTTGGAAAGGCTGCAGCCACAGTGCTCCTTGCAGACAGGGAAGGTGAAGCTTTGTTTCTCATACTTTCAACAGGTTGTCAAGAGAGAGAGGCTATTTCTTGGAAAGGGATATCATACTTCAACATGTGGAGCGTCAGGTAAAGAGAGGAAGATCTTAAAGGGATGGACTGACAAAGTAACTGGAGCAATGGACTCAAGTATGTCAGAGATGATGAGGATAGGTCAAGAAAAGACAGGGTTCAAGCATGTTGTTCATAAGGTCACTATGAGTCATACTAGACTCAACAGCACATAACAAATACAATACACTGAAATATCCCACCCTATTCTACAAAGTTAAACCAGCACTATCCCAGTTCTATTACGTTTTATTCTGAGATATAGATAAAATATTCTCCTTGGCTGCCAAATGACTCTTCAATATGCTTACTGACAGGAGTGTCTATAGTACCAAGTAAAAGCCTATATTTAAAAATAAAATTTAAAAAAAATAAAAAAATAAAATTTTTCTGATATTCGCAGAAACTGATGAATATCCTGGATGTAAATATTTCATTTATCATTTAGATTAAGCTGTGCAACCAAAGTTAAGCTAGGCAGGAATTTTCGCTAGTATCATAAGAAAAGAAGCTTCTCAAAATTTAAATATCGTAAATTTTCCATAAATCTTATTTTATAGCTATCATACTCAAGACTTACACATTGTCCTGTCATAAGCATGCTTACAAAAAAGTGTTTTTAAATGTTAAATCATATTTAAAAATAAGAAAATGCAATATCCTGAGTAATCACAGAGAACTCATAAAGAATAAAATGCTGTGTCAATGAACACCTTGATCAAGCAGTAAATGAATACTCTTACAGCATGGTTCAATTCCAGAAATAATATTGTTACATCAGAATGTTACAAAAAAGCTATCCATACAACTTCAGCTGAAACACACCATCCTTGTTGCCTGTTTCTGAAGTTACACATTTTAAGAATAACTTCCAATTAAGTGCTCCTAGACTTCAAATTTACTTTGAATCAAAACACTGTTCTAACCACTCTGTCAGCCATATTAAACCTTTACAGATCAACATTCATTTTTATCCAAACAAGCAGATGCAATCACATATAGTGCTGTCTTTAATGAAATAGGAATAAATCCCACAAGTTTCTTAAGTAGATTTTAAGTTGGCACACATGCTCTATGCGAAGCAAAGAAACATTTCATTCCTATGGAAACTTCATTCAGTTTCCATCTCTTCAGGGTTTCATTTTCCATAACCAAACACAAGAAGGGTCAGCAGTTGGACAAAGCAAAGCACACATGCACGGGGCGCTTCGGTTTACAGCTACAAGGCCAGCTTTTCAACAATCTGGATCCTCCCTCGGGAGGCGCAATGGGGGACAGGATGAAAAGTCAGGAAAGTATATCATCTCCCTGAGGAGCTCTCCTGAGAGCAGAGGTTCATACACAACTACACATACCCACCCATATACATGCCCACATTTTCAGGAATGGCAGAAAATGTGGGATACTTATAAAATACTGGCATTTACATGTAAAATTGACTTCCTATAAATGGCTACTCATACTTAATCCATACTAATACAAAGTAGCTTTATACAAAACATAAGTAGCAATGTTGATTTTGATATAAAATAAGACTGCCTAATGCTTCCATAAGGTATATCCCAGTTCTTACTGGAAAGGAAAACAAAAAGTGTACATTGTAATACTTAAATATTCATCCTAAATAAGCAAAGCCCACTTTACTAGGATGTCTGGTATTAGGATGTTTGGATAGCATTTGATAATATAAATGAATTAAAACATAACATGAACTATGAGAAGACAAAATAAGGAACTACTTCTGGAAGCTACAATTTTCAATCTTCTAACATTAGTTAACACTGTAAGTGAAGGTTTGGTTTTGTTTTAAATTTAAAAATTACCATCTCAAAGAGGATTTGTTTCAAATAGAAAAAATTTTAATAGAATGCATTACATTTTCTTTTCATTAAAAATACTGTGTCCTGTATTTTCTACTTTAATGAAGGTTTGTCCTCAAGGAATATGACAAGCAATTGAAAGGATTTCAAAACCACAAATCAAAACATTAATACTACAATGCAGGCAGGTCTCAGCTCCTAACTAGCATTCATTGGACCTCATAAAATTGCAAACAACTGCAACGAAGATGGTAACAACCTCTACCCAAAAGCACATATATATTTTTAAAACCTACTTTCTGTATCTTTCATCCTGTATGTCCTGTATGTTTGGTAAACACTCACCGGTGATTTTTTGCAGCAACGGTGACAACTCAGATTCCTCACAAAAGACTTGAGCCAATGCTTTCTTCACTTTTTCTTCAGCCGCATCCAAGTCTTGGTCCATTGTGAATTCTCCAGTGACAGAATAAACGTATATCAGGAGGATTAACAACTCTTCAGGATTATAGTCATCATTGGTTCTCTTGCTAGAAGGCTTAATCATGGGCAGCAGCTGATTTAACATAATGGCCATTGATGACTCCCCAATACTCTGAAATAAAAAGAAGATACTATAAAAATAGTCTCTTATGTTGTTGTTGTTGTTGTTATGTGTCATCGAGTCACTTGCGACTCATAGTGACCCTATGTACAAGCTCTATATGCTCTTCTATCGTGTGCCAACCTAGCCATCTCAAACACATTTATTCCCACCTCTCCAGTCACAGAATCGATCCATCTCATCAAAGGTCTTCCTCTCCTTCGCCGCCCCTCCACTCTGCCAAACATGATGTCCCTCTCCAAGGACCAGTCCCTCCTCGCAACATGCCCAAAACATGTCAGTAATTCCTGTGATAAATTAATATAACTATAGCTTCTGAACAATTCTGTGATAGTAACTGTCCTAACTGCTTTAATCTGTTTCTTGTCCTTGAGAGAGTATTAAAAGAAATTTGGGTTCAGGACTCATGTGGGGATTTGGGAGGAGAATGAGAAAAGAGTAGATAGATAATGAGCATTGCATTGGGACAGATGAAGGAAAGAACTGTTTAAAAGGAATATATATAGTTATGCATTATATGTATGACAATAATCTGGAATAAGACACACATTGCAAAGTGGACTGCGGCAGGGGGAAAGGAAACGGAGGGAGGAAAATGCAATAGTGAATAAATGAAAATCCAGCTTTTCTGTAAACTTATTAAAATCATAACAAAATAAAGTATAGAAATTCAAAAATGAAAACTAGGTATTTACAGAAGCAAAGATTACTACCTGACTGTCTCTAAATAAATTCTAATGTACAAATTCTGTCCCAATTAATATAATCCATTATTATTCTAATAAATGTCTTTTTCTTGTTTCCTGGGGCTAGAAGGAATTTGGTTTGAGGATTTCTTATTTTGCAAAGATTTCATTAATAAATGCCTCTCAAGTTGTAAACCCTCTCATATCATCATAGAGGTTGTTTAAAAATACTGGGGGGTGGGGTTGGGAGGGGAGAAAAGTGTAACAATGAATTAATGGAAATCCAAAGTCTCTGTAAATTTTCATTTAAATTAATAATAAATTAAAAAATATTTAAAAGTCCACTAATTTTAAGAATAAGCAAGTGAGTAGTTCAGACACTCAAGATTTTGAAATAAAAATCATATACTTGTAAAGCAATGTGGATTATAAACCACCAGGACACTAGGAACAAGTGATCTGCATGCTGCCCCATCCTGCACCACCATCGCCATCTGATTTGCGTGAGCCCACTGTTGCCAGCACTGTGCTAACCCATCTTGTACAGGGTTTCCCTCTTTTTTTCTGATCCTCAACATTTTCATTCATAAGATCATTTCCAAGGACCAACCTCTGCCCTAAAGTATAGGAGACAAGATATTATCCACCTGACCTCTAAGGAGTGCCCTAGAAGCACATCCTCTGAGACATATTTGTTTGTTCTTTGGACAAATGCAATATTGAGTACTCTTTTATTTTCTTATTCATTGCCCAACATTCACATGCATAAAAAACAATTGAAAAATTGAAAATGCAATGGCTCGCATCAGGTGCAAGTCTTTAAATGGACATCTTTCCTCATTAGCACTTTACATAGGTCCCTGACAGCCACTTTCTCCAATACAGCATTTGACTCCTTCACTACTGCTAACATCAGTATTGTTTGTGGATTCAAGTAAAATGAAATTGCTAACAACTTCAACATTTTCTCCACCATAATGTTGCTTATTGGTCCAGTGGTGGGGATTTTTGATTTTTTGTTATTAAGATGCAGCCTATACTGAAGGCTATAGTCTTCAATCTTCAGCAAGTACTTCATGACTTCTTCACTTTTTGCCAGACACAAACTGTCGGTTAAGTCTTCCTTCATCCCTGATGCCACATTCTTCTTCATACAGTTCAGGTTTTTAAATTATTTTTCAGCATACAGATTGAACAGGTATGAAAAAAGGATATAACCCAGATAGACAACTTTCCTGCTTTTAAATCATGCAGTGTTCCCTTGTTCTGTTCAGATAATTGCTATTTCCTGTGTGTATAGGTTTTGTTTGAGTGCAGTGAAGTGTTCTGAGACTCCCATTCTTCTCAATGTTAGCTATAATTTATTATCACCTACACAAATTCCTTTGTATAATCAATAAAACACAAGAAAACATCCTTCTAATATCTTCTGGTTTTAGCCATAATCTGTCCAGAATCAGCATATTTTTCTGTAAAATAATGTGTTGGCAGTATGTAGTTGACCATATTTGACTATTACTAACTCCTCAAAGAGAAACTGTCACCATTAACAACAGTTACAGTAGAAAATTAACTCCTCTAAGGTCACATATGGTCCCCTATATGCTTGTATCTACTTCAACTAAGTCCAGCACCAATCTTGTTGCTCTACTGGGTCCCAAATTCATTGCAGTGACCACACAAATCTAACACTACCATACCCACAGTACTGGGATTTATTAGGGAAGTTAACAGATTACAAATCAGGCTGGCAGGATACAATTCCTCAGGCGATCTTCTCAAATGTACTTAGAGTCTTTTAGACCTTGAGCCTTGTGGCTTAGATCAGGGTCACAAAGTTCTCTTAATTCCTGCCAATTATGGTGTTTCCCTCAGTTCTCCAGCAAGCCTGGGCGAAAGCTCCATTGAGGTACAAGTCCCAACTCAACTCAGTCTCACGGCAGAGGCTGAGGCTGCTGCTGCTCTCATATAGATCCCAGTCTGGCTGGCACAGCAATTTCTGGCCCCCAAGGACACATACTGCACCCTCCATTTCCCCTCCTTCCATCCCAAATCCACACAATTATAACTTGGCGAGATGGGGAAAACTGACCAATCCCATAATGATTACTTTATACATATCCTACCTCACTTAGATGATGAAAATCAAAGTGGATAGATAGGGAAATCATTATGAACAATAAACCCTTGACCCCAAACTCTATTCCCAAGTCCTCTTCTGAATCCAGCTTGATTTTAAACAATGTTCTTTAAATTTCTAGGAAACTAGTTTAAAGTAAGGATATCGTATACTGACTAAGGTATGTCTGATCTAAGTCATACTATTTTTAATTGCTTTGTATGCATGTGACAGTTGGATCATGAATGAGGATGATCTAACAATTGACTACTAATTAACAAGAATTGAGCAAATTATTCAAGAAGTGGACTTTACGAAGAAAAATATGGCATTAATAAGGGAGAAACATTCATCAATAATCTTCATTATGTGATGATACAACCATGCTTGTTGAAACTGAGAAGGACTTGAAGCACTTACTGGAGAAGACTAATACGGCAGCTTTCATGATGGATAGCATCTAAACATCAAAAATCTTCATCACTAGACCTATGTTGGAATGTGATGATGGACAGAGGAAGAACTGAAACTGTCAATGACTTCACCTTACTTGGATCCACAATCAATACACTTGACCAGCAGTCAGGAGATCAGGAGACATACAGGACTGAGAAAATCTGTAGCCAGAGACCTATCCACATTACTAAAGAGCAACGGTGTCAGTTTAGGAACTAAAGTGTGCCTGATTCAAACAATGGTCTTTTCAGTCACTTGTTATGCATCTGAGAGCTGGACACTATATAAGGCTGACAGGAGATAAAATTGGTGGCTTTGAATTGTGATGCTGGAGAAGAGCACTGAATATTCCATGGAATGCCAAAAGAACAAACTGCCATTATGTCTTGGAGAAGATCTATCCACAGTGTTCCTTGGAGGTAAAGATGATGAAGCTTCATCTCACATACTTTGAGCATGTTGCTAGAAGAGGTTATTTATTGGAAAGGAACATCATGTTTGGGAAGGTAAAGGTATGGAGAAGGAGAGGAAGACAGTCAGGTAGATTTACACAGTACTCTCTACTACTAATATAGTTCAAAGACATAAATTCTTTTTTTGTTGTTTTTTGCCATTGAGTAGAGTACAATTCATGGAGACCCTCTGAACAACAGATCTGAACTCTGTCCCATTCTGTGTCATCCTTAAAATCTCTGATACACCAAAGCCCACTGCTACAGTCACTGTGTAATCCCTGATTGTCTTCCTCTCCTTATGTAATCTGGGCTTCTAAAACTATGAAATAACATTATAAACGTAAACAAACCTAGAGTTGCTATAATCAAGGATGCTTTAGGCAGAATACTGAATGATCCAGGAAGTATTAAAAGAAGATGGAAAGAATATACTGAGTCACTGTATCAAAAGGAACTGGCAGACAGCGAAGAATTTAATTAATTTTATAAGCAAGAGCCTATGGTGATGAAGGAAGAAGTCCAAGCTGCTTTGAGGGAAATAGCAAAAAAAAGGTCCCAGGAATAGATGGTGTAACAATTGACATATTTCAGCTAACAGATGCTGCCCTGGATGTGCTCACCAAGTTGTGTCAAGAAATCTGGAGAACAACCACTCGGCCAACTGACTGGAAGAGATCTATATTTGTTCCCATTCCCAAGAAGGGTGACCCAACAGAGTGTAGAAACTAAAGAACAATATCATTGATTTCACACGCAAGCAAGATTCTACTGAAAATTATCCAAAAATGACTGGAACAGCAGTGTTTCATTGATTATGCAAAGGCATTTGACTGTGTGGATCATAACAAACTGTGGCTGACTCTGAGAAGAATGGGAATCCCAGAACACTAGATCATTCTAATGCTAAACCTATACTTGGACCAAGAAGCAGTAGTCAGAACAGAGCAAGGAAACACTGCATGGTTCAAAATTTGGAAAGCCGTACCAGGGATGTGTCCTATCTCCATACCTTTCCAACCTGTATGCAGAACAAATTATCCAAGAGACTGGGCTCTATGAGGAGAATTGTGGCATCAGGATTGGTGGAAGATCTACCAACAATCTGCGTTATGCAGATGACACAACCCTGCTTGCTGAAACTGAGGAAGACCTGATGCACTTGCTGCAGAGGGTCAAGGACTGCAGCCTTCAGTATGGATTGAAGCTCAATTTCAAGAAGACAAAGATTCTCACTACTGGACCAATTGGCAGCATCAGGATGGATGGTGAAGAGAC